CCGGTGCCAGCCTCGCCCTCCTTCCCCGCGGCCGGCTTCGGGGGTGATCCCAGCGCTTTGCCCAGACCGTGCCAAGCCAGCGTCTGATTCATACTCTCTCGCTTTCTCTCCTCCTCCTGCTTTGCTCTTCTCGTCTCTCTGCGTCAGAGGTTACCTTGGGCCACCCCACCAGGGAGCCCCTATGCACCATATGCCTGGTCATGACAGCCGTGGCCCCCCCCATGAGATGAGGGGGGGACCCTTGGGAGAACCCCGACCACTGATGGGAGAGCCGCGGGGGCCCTTGATGGATGCTCGAGGTGAGAGAGGGGGCATGAAATAGTGGGTGGCTTAAAGTGTGCAGACAGGAACTCAGAGGAGCCCGCTGCCCTGACATGAGACATAGGAGAGGTTTGGGTGGTGAAACAACTGATCCCAGTGCAAGGAGAGACAACCCCACGGGGCAAGGGACTTCCTCCAGGCATGTCCCCTCTGCCCCCAGCTCTGCACCTTCCAGGCGTTTGCTTACCCCCCCAGGCAAAGGAGACAGCGGGTTCGCTCCCACGCTCCCTGTGGCACTACTCCCTTCAACAGCTTGCCTTGTCTTTCCCCTGCAGTCGGAAGAGATCCCCGAGGGCTGGAGCCACGAGGACTGGAGCCGCGAGGGCTGGAGCCCCGGGTGATGGAGGCGCGAGCCCTGGAGGCACGAGGCCTGGAGCCGCGGGGCCCGGCTTTCGGGAGGCCGGGGCCATGGAGGCCAGGGTCATGGAGCCCCGGGGCCTGGAGCCTCGAGGGCCTGGTCCCAACCCACGTGGCCCCATGCCTGGTGGGATACAGGGTCCTGGGCCACTTAACATGGGAGCCAGTGGCCCGCAGGGGCCCCGCCAGGTACACACAACACCTCTGCGCAGCTGGTTGGGCACCGATGGTGTCTCGTAGGTTGGGGCTGGATGTGGGGTGTGAGCGCTCCCTGCAGTAGCTAGAGAACGGATGGTATCCCGCAGAGCTGCACCTCCGGGAAGCTTGGAAAGCTTGGGTCAGGGTCTCTCTGAGGGGATCAGGGCATCTGCCCCATCTTCCCAGGCACTGCCTGTCCGCTGGGGACAGGATGAGGTTCAAGCCTCTCTTCACCTCTTCCTGATGTGCAGGAAGGAGCGCAAATGTTGGAAGGAAAGGAGAACACGTAAGATGCGCGGTAGCCTGTCTGTCTTCATGCTTGGGCATCTTCAGGCTGGCTGTGAGGGCATCCATCTGATCATTTCTTTTGTATTTTGTATGAGTGCAGAGACCCCTTGGTCCTTACCCCCTCTCTCGTGCCCGCAGGTTCCTAACATGGCAGGGGCAGGGCTGCAGGGGGGGGGCCTTCCTGGGGGGAGCTGGTCAGCCTGGAGGCTTTAGCCCTGGACAGAGCCAGGTCACCCCCCAGGATCACGAGAAGGTGAGAGGACAAAAGGGAAAGGGTGAGACAGCGGGAACAGTACTTCCTACGTGCCTTACGGTGGCAGGGACAGCCCCTTCCTGGCTCCAGTAACCCATGGCTGCTCTGGCGGGGCGCGTCTCTGATTCCCCCCTCTCCCCGCAGGCAGCCCTGATCATGCAGGTTCTGCAGCTGACGGCGGACCAGATCGCCATGCTGCCTCCAGAGCAACGGCAGAGCATCCTTATTCTAAAGGAGCAAATCCAGAAGTCCACGGGGGCACCCTGACAGGTGACGTCCTTAACCCGGCCTCGGCCTGTGCCAGCTCCTCTTCAGTAACTCACAGAGCTGCTCGGGATGGGGCTCTATCCTGCATTTCCTCTCCGTGCCGGTGTTCATTCTCCTCCACTTCCTTCTCGCAGGTCTGGCAAGCGTGTGGTGATGCTGTCTGCTTGGACAGAGGCGATGCTTCATGCCAGCTGCTTCCCGTTGCTGTCTGAGCTGATGCTGTGTTTTGGGAGAGATTTCTCCTCCCTCTTCCAACATTTTCCCCTCCCAGTCATCTTCTTTTTTTTTTTCCTGTGTGTATATTTTATGATGTTTGAAATAAAGTGGGAGGACGGTTTGAGTAAAGCCGTGTCTCTGGCTGCCTTGTTTGGTCTCTAATGGAGGCCAGAGCGGGATTGTGAAGTTCTGGGAGCCGTCTGGCCTGGCTCCAGGCTCGTCCAAAGCACTCGCCTTCCTCCCTTCTCCCCAGCACCAGGGCAGGATCTACTTGTGGGATGTTAGGTGCCATGCTGTTCACAGCTGTTCTCAGGGGTGTAAGGGAAGGGCAGGACGGGGAGCTCGGCTTTCTGTCTCTGCTGCCCAGGCAGAGAGGACTCCGTATCCGATTGCTGTATCGCTTACCACGCTGGCCTGCTCAGGGAGCGTGGTGTTCCCCTCTTCTCTGCATATACTGGAGCAGAATGGGTTGCCTTTGCATGAGCTGCGTGAGAAGTCAGCCTGTGTGCTGGCTCCGGGCAGTGGCAGTGCCTCACCCCGCATTCCATGGGGTTTGCTGCCAACCAGCTTTTTTATTGCACCTCTGCGAGGGGGCAAAGAGTGGGCTCCCTTCGCACCGCACGGACTGAGTCACCGCAGAGGCTGTTGTAACGCAAACCACGTTTAATTTACCCTTTCATGCGAAGGACTGTTTAAACCCAGAGGGGCACGTTTGGCCCCCAGTGCCTGCTCGGCATGCCCCTCTCCCGTCCCCATCCCCATCCTGTCCGTCTGCCCAGCCCGCTGGGTGCTCCTGCTGCTTCCTGCTGCTCCAGCAGCATCATCACAGCGTGTGCCTCGTGTTTCTCAACGAGGGGGCCATGTGGAGCTGCAGGCCCGCTCCCCCCATGAGGACCCCTTGTAGACTGGGTCAGGAAGGCAGCAGTCTTTGAACCCGGAGTTTCTCCTGGAGAAGAAGCACCTGGCTGTGTTTTGGCACTCTTCAGCAGATGCTTATCCCTGGCCATGCTCTGGCACGGGGGGTGTGAGGTGAGACTGGCAGAGTCCCCTGCCCGCTGGGGTCCCAGCCTGGCTGCCACTTAGAAGTTCTCCTTGTTGAAGTAGAATTTGACCTTCCTGGGGTCCAGGCTGGAGTGCTGGTGGCAAGACTTCTGCAGGCTCTTTGCCAAGGCCCCCGGCCCGCAGAGGAACACGCCGACCACTGACCTGCGCACAGCAGGGAAATCAGAGAAAAGTGATTTAGGAGCTTTCTGGGGTCCCTCCAACCTGCGGGGGACAAGCATGCCTCTCCCAAAGCTGCCCAGCCTGGCCCTGGGTGCCAGTGGGGAGGGGGTGCCTCTCAGCTCTGGCACCCCAAAGCCCCTGCCCGGCTCTCACCTGGGGTGTGCTGCAGCCACCGCCGTGAACTCGCTGTTCCACATGGGCCGCCCAAAGATGGTTTTGTGCCTGAGCCCTGTCACCGTGTCTGTAGCGGTGTCGAAACGGAGTGCCACGTTGTTGGCCTGGGCAGAGCAGGGACAGTGAGGACCCCCGCCACCACTCGTGAGCCCACCTCCAGTCCCTCAGCACAGAGGAGTGTCCATTGCTGATGCCCACCAAACACCACTCCTGGACTTTCTGCCTGCAAGCTGCCTTGGCCACCCTGTGTCCCCCCTTGCAGTCATGCCCAGCCATGGTCGACTCACGATGCTGGTGTCCCAGCCAGTGAGGAAGAGCCGGTAGGTTAGAAAGTCCGCCTTGCCCGACTCGGCCATCTTCTGCTCCAGAGAGGCAAGCAGGTCGTTGAACCAGGCGAAGGCTCCCGTGTCCCGGCAGAGCCAGTAGAAGTAGATCTGGGATACAGGTGATGAGAGATTGCTTAAGATGGAGCAAAGCAGGAGGGGTGGAAGGATGCAATGTCAAGGACTGGGAAGCCCAGCATGGAGAATCCCACAGCTGGTCCTGTGAGACACTCCATACCTTCTTGGTCTTGAGGGTCTGGTCAGCCTGCTGGAACTTGTACCAGATGGACTTCAGGATGGAGGCAAAGGGGGTGACGCCAATGCCTGCTCCCACCAACATGGCCACCTCGTACTGGAACACGTCTTCGCTGGCTGTGCCGAAGGGGCCATCCACCTCGATCCTGGTCAAAGGAGGGCCTGAGTAAGAGGTATGGCCTCCCCAGATCTCCGGGATGGTCTGTTCAGGTGCTCCTCAGCCTACCTGGGCATCTCCAGCTTCTGCTGCTGGAAGGTGTCGATGAGACGCTCCGTCCAGTCACCGGCCGCCCGGATGTGGATGGAGAAGAAGTCCTCCTCGGGTGCTGACGTGAGGGTGAAGGGGTGCCACTCCAGCAGAGAGATGGCGGGGCAGTTGACGAAGATGTACTGCCCCACCTCCATGCGGAAGCCCTTCTTCTGCATCTGCAGTTCCAGCACTCGGGCAGGGTGCATGACTACCTGTGGGGCAGGGATGGGGGCTCCTGTCCCTGGGCAGCAGCCCCTGCTCACCTCCCCATGGCCACCCAGCACAGAGCTGCAGCAGCGGTGGCTGAGAGGGAAGGTGTTGGCTGTAGGCACAGGCTCCTGCACCACCCACCTTGGTGACAACCACCTTCTGCCGTGCGCGCCAGACCCGGAGGATCCGCTCAAAGATGTAGAGGATGACAGGGGCCAGAACCCACTTCCAGGACTGTGGGGAAGAAGGAGAGCAAAGGGTTGGAGAGGGTCAGGGCTGGAGCATCCCGAGGGCAAGGGAAGGGCTTCTCCCCCTGCAGCCGTCCTGCTGCTGCCCTACCTCTGCAGGGATGCTCCCAAACTCGGGGTCTTTGCAGCAGTGGTGCGTGCAGTCCTCATCCTTTCGCACGAGATAGCGGGCGCAGCGATGGGGGTGCACATCCTCCAAGCTCTTCTCCGTCTGCCCGCGCACCAGCCCTCTGCGAGGGGCAAGGGGTGAGCCTGAGGGCCAAATCCTGCCCCCCCAGCCAGGGCTGAGCCGCTCTGCATGAGCCCCAGGAATGGGGAGCCCACAGCTTTTTTTTTCTGCCCTGCTGCCCCAGCGGGGGTCTGCGGCCGCTGCCCCTCTCTGTCCTGCCTTCAGGGAGCGGTGCGGAGCCTTACGCAATGCCATGGATGACGAGCCCGGCGAAGTAGATGATGAAGAGGTGGTGTGTGTACCAGAAGATCTCGAAGTAGTTCCTGCGGATGAACTCAGTGGAGGACGTCACCATGAGGATGAGCGCCAGCGTGATGATGACCCCTGTCAACCCCGGGATGGTGGTGAAGGCCACGTACTCGACGGTCTGCAGGGGCGGCAGGATGGGTTAGGGAGGTGGAGGACAGGTGGTGGAGGGGGGCTGGATGCCGGGGTTGGTGCTCACTGTGTGGTTGGAGTGGATGGGGTTCAGCCACTTGTCGCTGCCCTGCAGGTGCATCTTGGAGAGGACGGCGGGCAGGCTGCCGTCGGCAGCTTGTTGGCTGTGGTTGTAGCGCTCCAGGTTGAAGAGGTGGGCGATGGTGTGCACGGCTGGGCATGGAACGTACAGTCACCCACCCGGCTGCTTCCCAGTCCCCGCCGTGCCCCAGCCCGGCGCAGGGTGGTACCTGTGAGCAGGGCCAGCGCGTAGGCCACCAGCTTGTGGAAGGTGAGGTTGTGGTCCAGCTG